CCCCCAACCACAGCTATCTGGCAAGTTCAGTGTCAGGTCAGGAGGGCAATAAAATTGTGAACTTGAGTCTGTTACTCCCCCCAGCTGCATGCTGGTAACACTCCCTTTGATCCCTTGCAACCACCCCCCCACCCCCAATTAAATTTCCACATACAAAGGCTGTAAAATCCGTACAGTCAAAACCAGGAACAATGCACACGAACAGGTCACATTACAAAACGGTGTCTGTCCAGTCACTGCTGCTGAGTGTGTTTACATGCTGACCCTAAAGCTGCTTAGCATCATACTGTAACATTTAATATGCTGAGTGTGTTTACGTGTACATGCCAATGCTAACCCTGCTAATGTTTAATATGCTCTGTGTGTTTTACATCTACGTAACCCTAATGCTTGATAGCATCATAGCGTAATGTTAAATATGCTGTGTGTTTTACATGAACTTGCTAATGCTAACCCTAATGCGAGTTAGCCCCATTCTGTAGCTTTCCCTTATTGACTTTAATGGCCAACCGCTTACGCGTCCTGCAGCAGCAACTGTACATCAGCTCCCGAGATGGCCTTGTCCAAGTGTCCCTGCACCGCTGTCCCGTCTACGGACGGGCGTGTGCTGAATGCTGCCTCGCCCGGGACCCGTACTGTGCCTGGGACGGCCACGCCTGCTCCACATACATCCCGGCATCAAAGAGGTAGCCTTGCTTGTTAGAGCGCTGTCTCGCTTCCAGGAACCCTCCCAGAGGTTACCGGGACCCCCGCCCCCACGCCTCTCACCTCCTGGCTCAGTCTCTGTCATTAATATGACAAATAGACCTGCCATCTTTTCAGAAATGTCAGATGTTTAGCATGTGGGCAGTACTTTAGCGCTGCCTCAGCTGCTCTATTGTACACCTTAGATTTGCTGTCCTGCAGGGGCACAGACATGTTTAATTCAAGCTTCTGATGTCGGTCGGCCCTCTGACTCCCGTTTCAAGGACTCTTGGTTTTTAGCTGTGCTCAGAACTTCAGTTGTAACTTTGTAGTTTGCCTTTTTTCCTCCTCCACTGTCACAACACTGTTAGGTTCTGAGAATTGATTATGATCCATATCTGGCGCTAAATGATTAATGCCTGCTGTCATTGCTGCAGTGCATTCTGGGTTTCAGTAGCAAACGACATGATGCAGTTATTTCTGGAGAAGCCAGCTTTCCATGCGTCCCCCGGGTGGGGGTGGGGTCACATGACTGTATGGGATCCTCTGAATATCAACGCAGCAGAGCAGTGAGGGGTGATATCGCAGGCTGGTGTCCCGTGAGGAAGCAGAAGGTAGTGCTGATGGGCTCCTCAGCTGGCGTCTCAGCCTGTTTGTGTCCGTATGTCTGCACACATCTGCTCTTCTGGCTTATTTATGCAATTTTCACGTTCCCGTCAGGTTATCAGAGGTTGAGCAGCAGTTTAAATTAGTGTCAGGCCCGTTGGGGAGGCCTCCCTCCAGGTGACACGAGGGCTCCCCCTAGAGGAAGCTGTGAGATCTCCACTCCTCGACCTGGTGCCTTTAGCCACATTTTGCTAGAAATGAGAGAGGGGCCTCTTCAGGTTGACTTCAAAGGCTTGAGAACAGCAGTTTGATCAAAGGATTTTGTGTTTATAGGAGAACGAGAAGACAGGATATTAAACACGGCGATCCCTCCAGTCAGTGCTGGGATGTCGAGGACAGTAAGTTGTTTTTATGGCATTTACAAAAGAAATAAATGAGGGTGTGGCAGTGAAGCAGTGTAGCATGCTAATGACAGCTAAATAAATGAGGGTGTGGCAGTGAAGCAGTGTAGCATGCTAATGACAGCTAAATAAATGAGGG